CCACTGTCATTGGAAGCAATGTGAGGAAAAAGCTATTTTCCAGCACCTTTCGATAGCTGATCCAAAGGCAAGGTGCATCAAGCCTTGCAGGAGCACACAAAACCCTAGAACACATCTCCTGCGTGTCTCCTCCCCACCTCAGGAGGTAAAAGTGTCTTCTACTCCAAAGTGAGGGTTACATTTCTTCCAGACCTCTGTGTTTGGGCAGGGAGAGAGAGGACTTTCGGCCCAGTTCCTGTGAAAACACGGTTAATGTACTCATGCTGTGTTTGTTTTGCCTCCCCCGAATAACTTTTGAACCTGTTGGCCTTGTTCAATTCAACTTGACAGAAGGACAGAGGTCTAGAAAAAAATTAAATTCTCCTAAGTTTTGTGAAAGTAGGCACTGAAGACAGAGGGTCCTGGTGTTGACAGCATGGTCACCGACGAAAGGCTGAACAGGAAAGCACATCTTGCTGGGCATCAGGGGAACAATACAGAAAACAAACCTGCAACCACAAAAGAAAAGCTTCAGCTGAAATTCACACTTCTTAGACATCAAAGTCAGACCACAGACAAGACCAAAAAAGCCAGTGTTCACAGAAATCCTTGCTAGTTTCAACCTGAACTCAACACTTTGTGGCAATTCCACAGCTACATCCTGGGATGTAGCTAAGTGTGACCTCCACATTGTACTGGCACAACCACCTGCTGCCTTCCTCACAGCTGCTGCTGCTGCTCAGGGGACCCAAGATGCAAAACATTCCAGAAGCTACTTTAATTGAAATTGGAGAGCATTTTACAGGCTGCTCTGTGTTGTGTGTGGGCAGTAGGACTCACACCATTGAAGTGGAAGGAAATACCTCTAATCATTTTGGCTTGAAAACACAAGTGGCATGCAGGAATATTAGAAACCAGTAACTTGAAAACAGGAATGGGAAGCAGAAACTTGTGAATTCACATGGTCCTGTGGCTCTGTGACCATGAAGAAAGGAATGCTGCCTACAGAGCTGAGCCCAGCTTCTACTGAAAGCCATGGAAAGGCATCTTTAGTGCACATTTTCAACTTCCAAAGGCTTACACTGACCTGCATGGACTGAGCAGTCCCCTTGCAGGCAACACCCAACTCCAAGCCAACATAAATCAAATGCACAAGAACATTTTCATGGGAGCTGCATTGCACCTTCAATTTTTTTCCTTTTCTTCTCAATGCTTTTCCTCTTCCCAAACCACCATCCCAGCAGTAAAACCTATCTCAGCAGGGTACATGAAGATTAGATTAAAACTTTTTTAACCTTTTCTCATTTAAACTCCCTGAAAAGAAGATCTTCCAGTGTTTTACTTTTTCATTTTTCAAAAAAGCAGCTTGTTTTTTGCCCAGACCTTTAAAGCTCACAAGCCTGAATATTTCCAACTTCCTCAGAACTGATGGGTGCTAAATCAGCCCAGAGGTATCTGCTAGCAACAACAAACTTTAATTTGCTGTAGTAAAATGCCTGTTCAATCCACTGACATCCAAAAATTTCTGCCTTAGCTAGTATTTGAGCATAGCAGTGGCCCATTGTGTTATTTGAAATGAACTGCTTTAAAGCAGAAGAGTGAAAATGAGTGATGGCCAGGCTCCTGATCTCCTTTTGTAAGATACTATGAGGAAGGGAACCTAAATCCAACTGTTGGATTGGCAGCAGGCACTTCCAACTGGAGCTCCTTGGGCTCGGAATAATTAAGGGTTTGCCTGTAGCAGGACTCCAGGGTGGGTAATTATTTATCTGAGAGTGGTACCTCCAGTCCCCAGAGGGCAGGTCCCTTTGTGTAGGCCCTGAACAAACACACAGAAAGGGGCCCTCCCTTCCCGAGGAATTTGTGGTCTAAACAAACAAGTGGGCTGAGTGCAGGAGAGGGGGCAGCAGATGTGGCCAGGCAGGTGAAATGACTCGCCCTGAGGTCACACTGCAGATTAATGCTGATGCCAGGCAGTGCTTCTGTCTTTTGAATCCCAATACATTCCCCTCACCAGGAGCCCAGATTTTGCTCATGGACTGAAACTCCTCCCCTGCACAAATTCTCTCCACCTCCTATGGATCTTCCTTTTGCAAACTTTCATCACCACCTTCAGCTGGGCAGCCCCGTGTTTTGCCTCCTCCCCTATTCCTTGGCTTCCTACCATCCAGATCTGGCTTCCCTCTGGTAGGCTGGGGAAGCTAAGCCAGCTAACATTTTTTAGATGACTATTTTTTAACTTAATTTTTTTCATCAGGGATCAGGGTCCAGGCTTAACTTACACCAGTCTGGAAATGAAAACTGCTACTGAGCTGCTCCAAGAAAGACGCTACTTTTGCAGCTTCAGATGCATTTTATTCATTAACACAGCTCACAAAAATGGGGCAGATTGTTATAAAGTCAAGGTTTGGCCTACCTTAGAGTTTCTTTTGCTCCCTTTCAAGATACTTACAAACATTTCCTACCCACTTTAAAAACCTCCACTCTGGACAGTTTGGCCAAACAGGAGACACCAGTAGGAAAGGTTTTAGCAGAAACACATACTCACTGCATGCTGGCTACTTCAGGCTGCTCCAGTGTTGGGCTGCTCAGCTCATCTTCCCACTGCTGCTGTTCTCTGTGCAAGGAAGATGCTGAGGCACCTGCTTCCAGGAGAAGTCACTGAGATATGAAGCCCCAGCAGGGCAGATAACTCCAGGCAGTCCTCCAAGCAGAGACGTCAGATCTGTCTCTGGTGAGCCCTTGTGGATGGCTGGCTCCAGGCAGCTGTATGGTAAATTTGGATGGTTCATTTTATTGCATCTCTCTTCAACAGGGAAAAGGGACTGTCTTCTTTTCCTCAGGGTGAGGTGGGTTGTAAGTTTTGAAGAAGTAGATCTCAGAGCTTTGTACTTTCTGAAAGGATCAGCTGGACTCAGGTGAGGAATCACAGACCTCACAACTGGCCACTAGCCTCAAAAACCTGTAAAATCTGCTGATTCCAATGAATCTGGTTCCAATGGAGACCTTCAGATGGTTATAGACAACTGACATGAAAGGGACATCACGTTTTGCATTAAGTGTTTGCAGTGCCATGCTGCTATCACCAAGATTAGGTGTCAAACAGAGAATGGAGGTATGGTCTTGGGAACAAACAGGCAAGAATGGAAGCATTTTCTGTTTGAAACAATGCCCCTAGAAATGTACAGACCTGTCTGCTTTCAGCCAGGGCTATGTGACACACCTTTCTCTCCAGTCATCCCAGCTGATAAAGTCCAGATTTTCTTTTATTTCTCTAGTGAAGAATCAGCAGAAGCCTTACAGTCATGCATTGCAAATAAGGTATATTTACACTGAACAGTGAGCTAAGAGAGAAAGGAGAAGAAAAGCCATCTGCTTTCTTGTGTATATCAAGTGTCTGGATTTTAGAATAACCAAAAGACATGGCACTCTTGTCCTGTATTTTATTAGGAAATTAACAGGCTGATTGATAACCAGAAATTACATAGTGAATCTCATTTAAAAATGTTCATAATCATGAGAATAATTCTGATTTCCATGAAAACATAATGCCCTGATACAATTCTTCTTTATGCCTGTAAATTTCTACACCCTTAACATTTACCTACTGTACAACAGAGAGGCTGGATAACTGTAACAGAATCTGGAAAGTTAAATACAGGATATTTAATTTTCTCTGCAGTCCAAGTCAAAGAGATGAAATGTTGGAAAGAAAGCCCAGAATGTGAGAGTTCCCTATGAGGAGGCTCCCTGTGATCTAATTCATTATGCATCAGTATTTCAGATTGGTAGTATTGGTCAAATACTGGTAAATAAACTGCTGTGCCAAGGTGTGAGGCTTTAGGGCATCCCCCAGGAGGGGGAGAGCACTGTGGGGCACAGGCTGTGCAGTGAGGGGGACAGGGTGCACTGGATGTGCAGGATGCTCAAAGTGCAAGAGCTGATACATCTGTCTGCATCTCATTTCCCCAGCAGTCTGAGGTACCACTACCACCAGGCTGGACTAAAGAGCTTTTCCTGAGGCTGTCAGCTTTAAAGACTGACACAATTCAGGTGCTGAGTCTCTGCAAGGGCTCGGTAATTTCAGCCTTGGTAATCAAAGCCCAACTCCTGCTCACCTTGTGCGTGTGAGAGCTCCCACTGAGCCAACACTGTTGGTTTCATTGCAGTCATCCTGTGGGGCAGCGTGGTTCAGCCCCATGGGTCACAGCTGAGGCCCTCACATCTCTAGATAAAGAGCTGGCACTTGCCAATACCAACCCACTCTTGAAGGGGGCCGAGTTTCTCAAGACGTTATTCAAGAAAACATTAAAATTGCCATATGTGCTGTGTGGATTAGAGATGTTTTCCTGAACTGAAGCCTTGATTCCTGCAGGGATTATGGATGTTCTGTGAGTGGCCAGCTCAAACACTTGACCAGTGAAGTCCAGCCACTTCAGCCTCTTGTATTATTCTTGGCATCTGTAAGCTGAAAATCAGTAGATTTAAGAAGGAGAAAGCCTTCCTTTCAAAATGCTCAGGACAAGTACATTCAGACCACTGTGTTTTCTATTTACATATAAATTCTTTGGCAACAATTTTCTAGAAAGCAGAATTTTTTTGCTATATAATACTTTATTGTCTCCCCATGAAAAACTGATATCTTAGAAAATCTATAGCACTTTCCACTATAAATAGTATTGTTCCAGATTAAGGATTAGTTCCTCCCTGAAGAAAAACAGATTTTAAAAATCTGGTCATTATCTGATAACTGTTTATGTAGTAACACTAAAATAAAACAGAAAAAGAAAATCATTCAGTATGTGGTTTGTTATTGTCTAGAATGTTAGTGTATGTTTATACAATAAAAACAACATAAGTTATCCTAGTTTGTTTTAAAAACCTTAGTAATAGAAATAAATTGCTATCTGCAGATTCATAAACAGAATGCATTTTTTTTCCTTCTAAGTTCAAGTATTATTAGAATATTATTATTACTATTATTATTATTATTACAGGAGCTCTAAATCCTTGCCATTTTGCCTGTTTTACATAATTTTGGCCTTTTTGAGAAATAAGTTGTCATCATTTGTTCAGGGGCAAAATCAACGTGGAGCTTCCAGAAGTTTTGCCTGGTGGAAGACAGCCTGGCAATCCTTTGGCTACTGTGGGTAACTTCCGCATGTTTGAGACTAGTGGTGTGGATACAGCAGTTGCACGATTTCTTGGTTGGCTGATGTACTTAATTTCCCCCTGGCTCCCAACACTCAGTCCTGTTCAGAGGAGAAAAGTGGGAACAACCCAACCCAGGCTTGCACCACATCAGGAGATGTCGTCCTCGTTCCCTGCCGGTACTGTCAGCTGCTCGTAGGTGGGCAGGGTGTTGTTGGGGAGGAAAAGCTCGGAACTGACGCTGCTGTTGCCTCTCTGAGATGATCTGTTGTTGCCCTGATCCCCCTGCTGACGGGAAACCAGATGATGCAGCATGTCCGTGATGAGGTTCAGCTTCTGGTCCATTTGTGTCACCTACAAAGGCAAAGGGTAGAGTTCTTTAGGAGCAGCGTGCAAGAAAATTGCAACAAACAGGGTAGGATACGTGTAATATTAATTAGGATCACAGCAACCTCTGTGAAGATACCACAGATTCACAGAGATCATTAGAAATTTAATACAATAGGTCAGGGTTGGATGGGGACAAGCTTGCTAATACCCACCTCTGGTGTATGCTTTGACACTTACTTTATATCTGGCTGAACACATGACAAATGGGATTTTAAAGAGATCTGCTGGAATAGAGAACTAAGTCCCAGAACTGAAGTTCTGTGGGCTTTTTTTGGTTAGTATTGTGTCCATATATTTTTTTTTGTTAAATGATAGACTTGTAGCATGCTTCTATGCCCTCATAATACCAATATGCTCCAGTAAATAGCTGCTTGACTTGCAGTGATCTAATCAACTCTTAAGCTGGGACTGAGTGATGCTCTTTCCTACATTTGGGTTCAATTAACAACTCAGGCCACAAAATGCCCATCGGTGTTTTTGCTGCCATGAGTGAATAGCAGCTGGGAGTGGGACGTGAGTCAGTTTTATGCTCTCAAAACTCAGTGATACAGCATTCCCTAGAACTGCCATCTGAAATGACATGATCCCCAGCAAGACAGAAACCAAGAATTCTAAGATGGCTGAAAATTAATTTCTTGACTGGGGGACTCCAGGTTCAGCCTGTATCCACAATGCTCATTTTCTTCTTTAGACAGAGACTCCTTAAATTATTTAATTTCTCTTCTCCCCCCACCTCCTTTTTTCTGGAATTTCTTCTAATATTTAGGAGAAAATATAATTAAAAAGCTGATACCTAAGAGAGGTTAGGTTATGGATGTTTTTGGCATATATTTGTGGTACTCAAAGGAAAATTGAGAATTAGGTGTTTCTAGGAATGTCACCCCTTTTATCTGGCATTGGGAGCCTCCTCTCTGCACTGAGCAAAATATCCCAAGGGCAAGATAGGCACTTCTAGCTTCAAAGTCCTGCCCACTCTCTGACCCTTGGTGTGGTAAAAACATTGAAATTAGGCAGTAAGACTCTGCCTTATGGTCTCCTAATTGCTTCTTCAAGCATAGTAAGAAATCCTTGATTTTGTCATTGCAGTCTCTGACCCATTGATCCACAGGGATCCTAAAACACTGAGTAAATTCTAGGCAAAGAGATGTAGTACTTTTTAGAAAGGGAAAAGAAAGCAAACAGGAAAAAAAAACCTGTGATAGGAATAAATTGTTGCCTAAAATATCTGCTAGAAAGTAGTGGAAGGCACATAAAACTGCCAGAGAGAGCATGAGTGGGAGCAATTTATATGTGCCTGGCTGTCATCCAAATATCACACAGGATAGTAAAAGACAGTAAGGCTGAGCAGAACATCAACAAACCTGGAGGATTTCAGCAGAGACTAAAATGTTTTTCCACCATAGAGAAAATGCTGGGTTTTTTCAAACACTTTGTACAACTGGTAGGGAAGCAGATACAGTGATTTAAAAATATGAGGTGCCAGAGATTTATACTTTGCAGCTGGTTTTGAAAACATTAGGCAAAGCACCCTAGATGGTACATGAAACACTAGTAATTCTGGATGGAAATGACTGTTGAAAGATGAGATTCTATGAAATGAGGAAGCTGAAGAACAGATAAGTTCAAGATTTCTAGAAGGAAACACAGATGGAAAACTGAGCATATCATCAGGTTCTCATTTCATCACTGTTCATTCCCTCCCTTAAAAAAAAAAAGACACATTTTGCCCAAATGGTGCCCATTACAGATGGCAAACTCGTGATGCTCCAAGTGTCACAGCACAAATCAATGGTAGTGAAACCTACAAAAATAACTCATTCCTGCATCCCCCACTGCCCAGGTATTGTTTGTTTTCTGAGACAACTCTTCTGGAAGCACTGCAGTGAAAGCCTCCACACAAACAGCTATCTTCAGAATCCAAAAGACAACTTTTCCTTCTACAAGAAATATCTTTTTGCTAACTATTCTAAATGAACTGGGGGATTCTTATATGCATATGTGTCTTAATTTGTGATTCCAGGCAGGGATTACCAGAGGGAACACAGGCTGGAGATATATCTGGAAAACGTGCACTCATGAAACTCTTGCAGTGATGAACTATTGAACATGACAGTAGGTTGGACTGAGATCTGGATAGTCCTTCAACAGCTGTGCATCTTGGTGATGAAGTACTGGGGAGAAGTGAGAAGTGAATATTCTTGCTGGGAAATAAATTCCCAGAGATAATTGTCTAATTTCTTCTAGGCAACAAGGCCTGGCTGCTGCAGCTGTGGAGTGCAGGAGGCCCACAGAAGCAGAGGCAGGAGCTAAGTGCTATTGAGCTGAGCCAGATGAGATTAAAAGTAAAGACCTTTGTCGTCCATGTTCCTGCTCTTTGGGGTAGGGCTCTAAAGCCACAAAGATTTTGTGGAAGGAGGTCCAGAAAGCTGTTTGTGTTTAGTTGTTTAATCAGTTTTGCTTTCCATTTCCCAGGGGGTTCAGTGCCCCTGAAGGGCTTGCTCCAAGACATGCTGGACTCAGTGGTAGATTTTGGCCAGCACAGACTCCCATTGGCTTCAGTGGGCTCTGTACCAACCTTGGACTGAATCACCAATCCCAAATAGAAATATGTTCTTTGGATGTTACAAGAGTCTGGATTTCTGTACATGGATCTTCTGATTCTCAGGGCTCTATCAGAAAAGATGACATTGGCAAACAAGGCAGCAGTGGGCCCCCATTTTTAATTGTGCCAAAGGAGTATCTGCTTAAAGTATGAGATATTTTAAAAGGAGAAGTAAGAGCCACCAGAAGGCAGCTTCTACTGTCATCACAGGCCTCTGTTGTACCAGAAAAAGAGGCTTGCTGGTGAACAGCCTGGCTTATTAACATGCCCAATCTGCCTGTCATCATCCAAACACACATCCTGAAATACATCATTCACTTGCTTGCTGCAGAGATAATTATACCCACTAGAAAAATGTCATTGTGTGCAATATCCTTTTTATTAAGCCAGCTTTAGGCAGTTAGCATGGAGAAATGTATCATCCCCCCTGAATCATACTTTCAAACACATTTACTTGATTAGAAATTAGCTCTGATGCCAGAAGGAATAAAAGTAAAGCAAACAGAAAAACTGCTGATGTTGCTCTAATCTTAACCGCTTTGAACAACTCTGATCTCTCTCCTTAAAACAGCAAACATTGTTAATTACATAGAAAAATAACTCAGACTGATTTGTTTCCTTTAGGAAAAACTAAGTAAGCTCTTTGTAGCTGATTTATGTTTCATTAGAAGCATGATGTTTGGATGATCAGATTCTTTATATGCAAAATAATTTCCTTTGTATTTCACAGTTGTTGGGAAGAGGAAGCAGTGTTTGAAACTTCAGAAATTACACACCACAGTTATTCCTAAGTCTGACTGAAATATTGTATGAACACAAAATCTTTCCATCCTGTAAGTTAAAAAAAAAGTAAAAACCCAAGGATCATAGATTGAGCACAGATGGAGAGAAGATTTAAACAATTTTGAATCTATCTCTTAGAAATGAATGAAATCCCATCCATGCAGTGCACTGAGAAAAAAAACAACCCAAAACCAAATAGTTCCTCGTGAAGGCTGAAAGGTTAGCACACAGATCTTAAATGTCACATCATGAGGAAAAGTTAAAACATGCAGATATAATAGCCTCTCTCCATCTCTCCTGTAGGCTTCCTTCAGGTGCTGTGGAAGGCCACAAGTAGGTCACTCCAAAGCCTTTCTTTTCCAGGCTGAACAATCCCAATTCTCATAGCCTTAGTGACATGCATTTACAAAGGTAATAATATTTGCAAAGGGATCAAAGGCATTCCAGGAGGTGCTACTGAACAAGACAGAGACTGTTCTTGCTGAAAGAGCAAAATAATTTCCAATTAAAATTGTCTATTATTTTTTATCTATTAAAATTCACAAATCTTCACACTATATTGACTTGAAACACTTTGTAATTTTAAGCTTTCAGAAAAAGTTCATGGTATGATCTGGAACATAGTATGTAGCAAAGAATTTATTTCCTTGATTTTAAAAACAAAACAACCAAACCAAAACAAAACACAGAAGCCTGGTTGGCTCCAGGGACAGCTCCAGGGACAGAAGGGTCTCTTTTAAGCTCCTCTGTAATGGAGAACTAAAGGGTAGCACTTTGGAGACCTACTCCCAAAACTAATTATAGGAATTTACCAGGAAAAGGCAATGACAGACACAATTACAGAGCTGAGTGGAACAGTATTTTCAGCCACGAGAAGCTGAAGGACAAAATTTTGAGTTTGGCATAATTTCAGCCACAAAGACCACAAATTATTAATAGATTATTCCAAGTATTGCTCCATAATCTGTAGAGATCAAGGCTGATTAATACTGTTGATTAAAGCTGTGTCATCTGCTTGTCATTCTCAGACTCAGAGATTTTAAAAGTAAATATTAAGGGTAAAAATCACAGTCCCTTTGAACAGAATGCTGTTTTATAACTACCTATGTTCTTAACATGGTTCACTGATTAAACAGATTGTTTTGTCCATAATGAAGAGAATTCTTATCAGCTCAGTGGGTTCAGGGGGGCTGTCATTGTTCCCAGTAAAGAGAGCCAAGCATGAAGCTGCTAAAGGAAAAGAGGGAAACCAGGATGCAAGCAACACTTAGCTGAATGAAAATGTGATAAAGGAAGATTTCAGCTGCTTTTACAACATTAAACTCCCAAGTCTGCTGCCCTGACTTAAGTAACATTCATTCCTGTGGGTGCAGCTTTTTGGCTCAAAGAGAACTAATTCTTTAAGGCACTTTTTCAAAACAGCCAAAGAAGATTGGGGAGACCTTCATGTATTCAGCACTTTTCTAGTGGCCTCTTTCTAAGGAGGACCCTATAGTTCTGCAGTGTAGCAAACTTCTAGTGGAATAAAAAATGAAGTTTTCTTTGAGCATCTCTCCATGTTGTATCAAATCTCTAATGT